GGGCGTGAGCATGACGGTTCAGGTTTTTCTGAAAAATTACTGACTGAAAAACTTTTAAGAGACGCATAAACGTGCTCTGATACCAATTGTAACACCCCTCCTTATCGTAAAATCAGAGCGTGAAAATTCGCAAAGTTATTTAAAAATAAAGCCTTTTTACTTTGCGAAAACTGATTCGGGGTGCTACCCCAAAACCGTGACTTAATTTAGAAAACCGTGATTTTAATTTTTAATAAAATCGTCCGGTTACTGAAAGCATAAGTCCCAAAAGTTCGTCAAAAGATAAGTTCGTCAAAATATGAGTACGTCAAAAGTCATCAAAACATCATCAAAAGTCATCAAAAACATCATTAGCGGAAGCGTAAGTCATCAAAATAAATATACAGTCCAAAAACATAAATGTCCTGAAGCCTCCGTCACGTCACACTCCCAGCCCGACATCCTGACCTGAAAAACATGATAAAAGTGGGAAATGAGCACTATGGCACTGTGCTCCGTGGAAACTCATACTAATGTAAACATTGAAAATAATAACAACATCATGATATCAGTATATACATAACCTCAACCTCAACCTCAAGTCGGTAATAACATGAACATGAATCTGAAATCGTCATGCAAACGTGACCCTGACCGTTACCTCATCTGCCGGCAAAGCCGGACACCATGTGCATACTCTAGTGGGCAGACTAGGGCCACTAGAACCCAGAATGGACCGGCGACCATTCCGAGTGGATACCTCAACTGAAATACATACCTCAAACATGGTACTGTAATTATAATCAATGTAGTACGTAGTCTGAGTCCCCACCTGAACTGCTGAACTGAACGGTAGTGCTGATGCCTGATCAAACTGAAAATAATATAAACAATTACTAATGACTATGCTCAGATCATTAACTTAACTGATTAATTTCGTTAAGATGCTCTATTGAACCTGACATGATATATAGACTTAACCGGAATAACCGGAACTGACTTAACTTTAACTGATCGGACATGAATTTACTGAACTGAAATAATCCCGAAAATTTAACTGAAAATATCATTAAAATCATGAACCGAGCTGAAACTTTAACATAAGAACTGAACCAATTTAAAATGGGGCTGAACCGGTCCAGCCGGTCTGAACCGGTCTGGACCGGACTGCGGTTCGACCG